TCCTCCTCCTCCTCCTCCTCCTCCTCCTCCTCCTCCTCCTCCCTGTAAATCCCACTCCCTTCTAGCCAGGGGTGGGATTCAAATTTTTTAACAACTGGTTCTGTGGGCGTGGCTTAGTTGTTGGGCATGGCTTGGTGGTCATGTGACTGGGTGGACGTGGCTTGGTGGTCATGTTATTGGCTGGGCGTGGCCAACTTAATGTCACTCACATCGAGGCACGCATCTCCTCGCCTGGCCTCTCATGACTGTGGGGATGCTGCAAGAGTCGTAAGTGTGAAAAAGGGTCATAAGTCACTTTTTTCAGTGCCATGGCAACTTTGAATGGTCACTCCACACAAGCAAAGTACCAGCAAAGGAGGAGGAAAAAACTCCAGAGAAGTTCCTGAGACAGGAAGTCTAGTCCTGCCAAAAATGTAATAAGGGTTAACGGAGAGGCAGTTTCTGTAAGCAACACCAGAATGTTTCCTTCCTGCCTTCCTTACAGGATTAGGCCAGTAAAAATTTCTTCTAACATCTGGTTCTCCGAACTGCTTAGAATGTTAACAACCGGTTCTAGCGAATAGGTGCAAACTGGTAGAATCCCAACCCTGCTTCTATTACTGATTTGGGCCAGGAAATATCTGCAAGAAAACAGCCAAGCTCAGAGAGCAACAAAGACCCCACAGTTCTCCTCCTCCTCCTCCTCCTCCTCATCTCCCTGCAAATCCCACTCCCTTCTAGCATTGATGATGCTCCCTAGTTGGGCCAGGAAACATCTGCAAGAAAACAGCCCAGCTCCGAGAGCACCAAGGACCTCACAGTTCTCCTCCCCCTCCTTGCAAATCTCACTCCCTTCTAGCATTGATGATGTTACCTAGTTGGGTAATGAAACATCTGTAAGAAAACAACCAGTGCTCAGAGAGCACCGATCCCGATTTGGAATATTTTAACACACAATAACTTCCCAACAAAGTTTTGTTTGCATTGCTTTTTTCATTCTTGCTTGTTTTTTAACAAATTGGTTTCGGTAGGTACTGAAAATTTCATGTGTGTGTGTACATTACTCACAACTCTAATTGAACCTAGAATTGTGGTCATTTAGTGAGTCCCCACACGAGTGCCTGATTTTACACATTGTGGGGGCAGTCATTAAGTGAATGCAACAGCTGTAAAACGAATCTATTATACCCAGTAGGCATTTTGGCTGCCCAAAATCCGGTCATGTGACCACGGGATGTTGCAAACGGTTGTAAATGTCAGCCTGTTGCCAAGCACCCAAAATACAGTCTTGTGACAATGTGGGGAGTGGTGTGGCCGTTGAAATTTTCGGAATTGCAAGGGGTTGGACTAGAAGACCTCCAAGGTCCCTTCTGGCTGATTGAAATTGAAAAGTACCTCAGGTAAGGGGGGGGGGCGTGTTTCATAGTCACTTCAGTCAGTCACTAACTGTCCAGTCATTTAAAAACCATAAAAGCCACTAAGCACATTTTTAAAAAGCGACAAGGGAAGTTGAGAACGAGAGAACAATGTGAAGTTGTTTTGCCAGCTCGGTTGTGGGTTGAAGAATTCTCTTTCTGGGATTGCATGAATGTCTTGATCGAGCAGAAATGCTTCTCGATTCGTGTTTGTTGGCTCCTTCCAGGCCATGAGTTTTTTTTCTGGCTATCTCCCTCCTGAGCCTTTCAGAAAAAGGATAATATTTATAGCACCTGGTTGAGAGGAAAAGTCCTGGATGTCCCCTGAGCTTGGTGGTTCTCCTGCAGATGTTTCACCACCCAACTATGTAACATCGTCAGTACTGGAAGGCCATGGGTTTTGTGTTGAGGAGGAGGAGGAAGATGGTGGGGTCCTTGATGCTTTTTGAGCTTAGTTGCTTTCTTACAGATGTTTCACGACCCAACGATGTAACGTCATCAGTTTTAGAAGAGAATGAGGTTTTTTGGAGCAGAGAAGAAGGAAAAGTAGAAGAGGTAGTTGACCACGATGACAACTGTGGGATCTTCGCTGCTCTCTGAGCTTGGCTGTTTTCTTGCAGACATTTCATTACCCAGCTAGGTAACCTCATCAGCGCTAAGAGGGGATTGCGGTGTTTGCTGTCTATATACAGAGGCCTGCACCACCAGCTCAGACTGTCAATCAAATAGTAAACATCAGTCAATTCAGGGAACTACTAATGGAAAAAAAAACACCAACACTGACAGGGCAAACCACTTGTGTACAAACAGAGAGTCAATCCCACTCTTTTCTAGCACTGATGATATTACCTAGCTGGGTCAGGAAACGTCTGCAAAAAAAATAAACCCAGCTCGGAGAGCACCAAGAATTTCTCCTTTCAGAAATAAAGCAGAACGGGAAGTATTCCCACTTCATTTTAGACTTCACAGGGAGCAAAGCATCCTGTCCTATCGCAAAGGCACTTTAAGGAGGTCCCAAATGGGAAGGTGAACCCCCCCACAAGCGTTCTGCTCCCTCCGGCTTCGTTTTAAGGTGGACCAATCCAGAGGTCTCAGCAGGTCTTTGGAAGATGGGATGATGGAAGGTGTAGTCCAGCCAATGACGGCTGGTGCATTGCCCTCACGGCTGATTTCGGGGAGTAGCTGTGGAATGGGGGCCCCCATGCCTAATTCTGTTCTGTCATTTCAGGTGACTTCAAATGCCCCTTGAAGGAAGAAGTGGCCCTCACGAGTGGAGAATGGGAAGTTCTGGCCCGACATGGGTACAAGGTACGAAGTCCCTTCCCCTCCCGGTGAAAATGCCATTTCTGGTCTTTGTGCCGTCTCTTCTCTGGCTTCTGGTGGATAGTTTCCTTCAACAACAATCAGAGAGACAGTTTGGTGTAGTGGTTAAGGCACCAGGATAGACACCAGGAGTTGCTGAGTTCTAGTTCTGCCTTAGGCAGGAAAGCAGACTGGTGACTGCGCCAGTCACCAGGAGACGGTGAGTTCTAGTGCTGCCTTAGGCGTGAAAGATAGTTGGGTGACTTTGGGCCAATCTCCAGGAGACGGTGAG